GCTCCGGCATGACCTAATATGTTCCTTTAGAATATGGTTTGGTTGTTATGTGTAGAATACTTCTTCCTGAGACAAACTGTATTCCAGCTCAAAATGTGCAGAAATGCTGGGAGTGATACTTAAGAGAAAAATATTTGCGGTCAGTTATTATATATGCAGTGAATTTCTCCAGAACAGTGGGCAGGATGGGTGATAGAGCCGGTGCGGTGACATCTCACGAATCCAGAGGCCGCAGAAGGAAACCAGAATTCGTCTTTTTAGACAGCAGTAGCAATTTCACTTGAAATGTTGCTCCAAGCGTTTATCACCTCAAAATCGTGAAACAAGCTAATTAAGAATGAAAACACATTGTGATGTCAGTAAAGAAATCATAGATTTAGTAGCATGTAGAGGACTTACGTATTTATTTATCTCTATTCCTCTCTAAAACAACTCTGAGCAGTGTAAATATCACATGTAATTTATATTGCGTCAAATATGTCCTATAGGTACATAAAAAAAAGGTACACACTAGGTAAGTAAACCAAGAGTGTTTTCTCTTTGTTCCTCTCAACTTGGGGCATTCAGAGCAACACATGAGTTTTCCCTGAGGCTATGTTTTTATACATAATATTTAAATTAGCAGGACCACAGGTTTATTTGCATTGATTTGCATATAATCTGCATATAGCAGTACAGTTTACATCGTGCCTCCTGGTGTCTTCAGAGAAGTCTTTTTTTCCCCTCCTCCCCCATCCCCCTTAAACCTGTGAAGATACTCTGAACCAAAAAGGACATCTGGGGAAAGAAGAAACAAAAATAACAAGAGTAATGATACAAATGAGGCCTCTGTTCTCATAGTTTTCACGTTTTCCAGAAACAGAAGTACACTGGGGTATAAATATCAGAACTACTGTTAAATCCGTTGTTGCGAGAACAGTGCTTTGTTTCTCCTGAATTGTAGCAGCAGTCACCCATCCCCCACCCACACCCCAGTCTGAACTGTTTGGTACAGTACCCCTTATCTCTGTTTCTGTGCCCGCGTGTAAGAGGCGGTGTGTGTCCTGTGATTCCGTGGGAGGAGTTACACGAGTTTGCCTTCCATCCAGGTGACGCTGGCAGCGGGACCACAGGTCTGATTCAGGTCTGTGCCAGTAACTGGAGCGCCATATGGAAAGATGCTGCCCCTGGTTCTGTCATAAGAAAAGGGAAGAGAACTTGAATTTCCTTTCTCTTTCTCCTTTTTCTAAGACAGGGATGGGAAAATGCTTATATAACAATAATGTGACTCAAAATTTTGCAGTTTACTTAAAAACAAATATTTTGAGGAAATAAAGTTTTCCCTTGTTCCTAAACTTGAACAAATATTGCTTCAGCCTCTAATGCATGAGAACCAAAGAAGAAGCGAAACAGATTAGTCATGTATTAAACTCTGGAGCAGAAAATTTGAAAGAAAAGAAAGGTTAAAAGAGTCAGTGTCAGCCCTGGCTGGTTTGGCTCAGCTGTTAGAGCGTCGGCCTGCGGTCCAAAGAGACCCGGGTTCGGTTCCCGTTAGGGGCACGTACCTTAGTTGCAGTTTGTCCCCGGCCCTGGTTCATCGTGCGGGTGGCAGCCACTCGATGTGTCCCTTTCACATCGATATTTCTCTCTTTCTCTTACTCTCTCTCCCTCCCACTCTATCTGAACAAAAAATGGAAAAATGTCCTTGGGTGAATATAAAAAAAAAAAAAGAGAGTCAGTATTAGTGTTTTAATAACTATCTATTATAATAAATTAGAGATGATTTAAAGTTACTCTAGTTAGAAGTTTATTTTGTAACGTCACTGCCTCCAGACATTTGCATTGTAGGGTGTTGAGTCAGACATAACCTTCATAATCCAAAAAGAAACATGTATACTAGGTGTGGTGCTATTGAAATACAGCTGCATTATTTAAATTCCCTACAGACTAATGCTGCAAACATTTTTTTTTTGTAGAAATAAATATTTTTACTGAATAGGTCTGTACTATCTCAAGTAAGAACACGTTGGATAGAAACGATGCAAAAGTTTTCAGATAGTCCAGAACGAGCATGAACAGAAAGAGCTCCTTTCTGGGGGTGGTAGACAGGCCCCATTTAAAAAAAAACAAAAAACATACTTTAAATTTTTATTTTGCCTTTTTTTTGGCATTTAAATCATCGAGACTGATGAAGTGCTAATTGTAGAGACTTAGTGCACATCTGGAAAGCAATTAGGGGAAAAACATAGAGGCAGCTGAGCCACCCTATTCTGAACGATTATTTGCTGAGCACCAAGTGTGCAGTGAGTATCCCAGCATCAGGCGGGGGTGAGATGTTTGCTTTCTTTGGCCTGAGTTAGTTGAACAGCTGCTGGCTTCCTCATGAGCGACAGATACATTTTTGAGGCCCTCAAATTACTAGGAAGTTTTGAGTGATTGGGAGTGAGGGCTGAGTCATTAAACTTTTTCACTAGTAGGAGAAAAAGTTTGATCATCAGCTTGGAAACTTTGAAACTGAAGTGAACATTTGGTTTGGAAGGTGTTGGCTAGGACATATAAGAGAGAAGAGAAAAAGAAGGAAAAAATAAGTGGAACAAAGCTACATAAATAATTGTTTAAAATTTTTTTGGAGTGGCCTTGATTTAGTTCAAGAAAACAGTGGGTTGTGAGAAGTCATGCAGTTCATAGAAAGGCTAGTTATTTGTGAGAGAAGCCAGAATTCAAGGTTAGAGTACCTTGGTTTGGACACTACAGCTCTTAGTACCTCTGTAAATGAGGGATGGATGGATGGATGGATGGATGGATGGATGGATGGATGGATGGATAGATGTTGAACATCCTGTCCCCTCCACCTTCGAATACACTTCAAAAGGAGCTCCTTGGTCTGTGACAATACATGCTGGGGGAGTGAGCTAAGACAACACGAGGTTCATGGAGGGAACAGGAAGGGACGGTGGGGACTTTGGTTCTGGGACGTGGAAGCAGACATCCCAGGCCGACAGGAGGCAGAGGCCGATGCTAAAGCGAGCCCAGCTCCCTTTGCCCTCAGAGCTGTCCAGGTTCCCCACGGCCCAGGCAGCGTGCACTGGAGCCATGCCGCAGTGGGCACTCTGCTCTCACAGTCCCGGCAGTCAGTAGCTGGTGGTCGGAAGAGATGCTTCCATGGGAGCAGCTCAGATGCCTTCCTTCTCTGCTGACGGTTCTCCCAGTACGTTCTCCTGGTGTTAGCTGAGGTGCATGGGGGTGAAAGAGGACCCCCTGGGGCAAAGCCGCCACCTTGGGGGCTGCCTGTCGCTGGCGGGCTCTGCTGGCCCTCCGTCTGCAGACCTCAGTTCCTTCCTCCGCCCACCTGGAACGGGGCAGGGAGAGGTAGGGCCCTGAAGCTGGGCTGGTAAGCTTGGGGCTTATTTTGTGGGATGGGTGATGGCGGTGGCACGGATAATTCCCAGGGGGGAGAGACCAAGGTCACTTTGGTGGGCCAGTGGCAGATTAGGCAAAGTGCAGGAGACAGGACAACCAGCGGGAGGTTGTGGGTTTTCGTGCAGTGGCCTGTCGGTAGGCACGCGCTGTTGAGTTGAGGCGAATCAGGGCAAACCTTAGGCTCATGATTTGACTTACCACGCTATATTTCAGGAACCTCATCTTAAGATATTCTGGCCAGTCTCCCTTTTTTTTTTTCTGAAGACAGTACAGCCAAGGTCAATAGGGTAGGATGGCCACCTCCACGGATTTTTCAGAGGCTCAGCGCAGATCCCACCCTGGCTGGTGTCATTTCCTAATTTACTCGACAGTAAACATTGAGGAGCAGGGTCGGCTCCCAGCTCCCCTGCCCTGTCCATCCAGCCTGTTGCCCAGACAGTTGGAAGGTGACCTTTGCCCAGACACGGTCAAATATCTCACTGGTCTTACAAGAGCCCTTCCCGTCCCTAGCTCTATCCTGAAGTCTTTGAGGCAATGAATGCAAATGTAGAACATTTTACTGGTGGGAGAGGAAGAATGTCTTCTGGAAATGCATTGCTTTTCATTTCGGTTTCTCCGCGTAGTTCTGTAAAGTCAGTGAAAGCAGAAGTGGGGTAGACCGATGGCTCACTCTGTCACAGGTCTCCTGACCTGGCCCCCCAGGCCCTGAGATCTTCACGACTTTTGGTGAACTCCTAATTCCCAAGCCTCGATCGTATCTAAGCGTGCTTTTCCGTATTAGACTCGTTCGCTCTGCGTGTTGTGCTCACGTTAATTGTGCTCCTGTTACTATTCCACCGTGGCCAGAGGCTGAGAACAAGCCTGTCACTGACATAGAAGCGGCCGCGCACTGGGTGTGAATTCAGGAGTGTGGGCTCCAGCGCAGCTCCCGGGCACTGTCCCCCACAGAGACAGACGTGGTTCCTTGTTTATGGAGGAGAATTGGTGATGTGTACTTTTCCATCTGTACTTGGAACCACTCCGCTCTCCTGACTGTCTCATGGGTGAGGATGGTTCAGGTGTGTCCCAGATGCAGCCTCCCTATTGGTTCCCGAATCCTCAGGTCCCAGTTAGAATTTCTGGGACCGGTGTCCTGGCACCAGATTTCACAAAGGCTTTCCCGGAGGTTCTGATGCATTCATGGGCCCGATTGGGCTTTAGGGAGCCTCGTGCTGACAGCGCTTCTGCTGAAGGGGCGACCCTTGGGGTTCCTAAGCCGTGCTGAGCAGGCTGAGGTGGGGGTAACTGTGGCTTTGGTACCCCACAGTCCCAGGCTGGAGGCCTGGCTTCTTTGCTGGTTAGCCCTGCCATCCTAGGGCTGTTGCTCAACTTCCCCGAGCCCCCGTTTGTCCATGTATGCAGTGAGGACATAGGCCCTGAGTCCAGGGGCTGTCCTGTCCATTAGATGTCACATGTGAAGCTTAGCCTGACACATGCTCACCACTTACATATCAGCTGTGACTGAAAACACTGCAGAGAGGGAGGCGACGTGATGCGGGACTTCGGTGGACTGACCGTGTTTGTTCTTTCCTGTTTCTTCCTCCCTCCCGCCTCCCCCGCAGGACGGCTCCCTGGGCAACATCGATGACCTGGCGCAGCAGTATGCAGATTACTACAACACCTACTTCTCCGATGTGTGCGAGAGGATGGAGGAGCTGCGGAAGCGGCGGGTCTCCCAGGACCTGGACGCGGTGAGTGCCTGGCACGGGGGCGCTGCCCGCGGCTGCTCCGGCCCCTGCTCCTGTCCTCGGGCCTTCTCACGGCCCTAGCTGTGTGTGGAGCACCACACTGCAAGCTGCCCAACTAGCTCGGGATAAAAATTCAGATCCCTAAAGGGTTAACCCAGTTCTGCGGGTATCAGAATTTCTGGGAGTGGTGTCCTGGATGAGTATTGGCTGGATCAGTATGATCAGAACTTTGTATTCATTAAAAGACTGGATTTTTTTCTTTAACTTAAGGAAAAGGATGTCTTTCCTGTTGGCCAGTATATTCAGTGCTGTAATAACCTGCTCCTGTCACTTTGTCCTGATTAAATAAACAAAAGGCCAACTATGAAGCTTTCAGAGACAACCTGAGGCAGTGCCACCTGGTCTGATGCTCCTCCAAATGAATGTGTCCTCTCAGCGAATTCGTTAGTTTTTAGAACTTAGATGATAGAATGAATAGCAGGACAGATGTGTGCTGGCCCAGTTCACCCAGTTCCCTTTCGCCTCAGCTCCCTCCCACCTCTGTTCCCTCTGCTTATCGCTAACTGCCTCCGCTTCTGTACACGCTTCTGTACACGTAGTTTGCTTGCTCTGCTAAACTCTTGAATGACCCCTGTCCTATATAAGCAACCCACCCCCTGAGCTCGGGGCTGCAGTTCTCCTCTGTGTAGGTTGGCTGCAGTCCCTGTGCAGGTAATAAAGCTCACCTTTAATTCACCCAACTTTGTGTCCAAGTGAGGTTGACTCTCCTGGGTTACAACATTTGGAGTCCCCAGTGAGATCACCGCGAGGTCCCCCTCCCTTTGAGGTAGACCTCTTGGACTAGGTGAAGCCTCAAATTGGCTTTTAATTTGACTACGAGCTTTTCGGATCTGTCCCCGGACGTCTGGAGGTAAGGGAAACACCATCCCTTTCCGTCTGCTTTCGGTTGTTCCCTCGAGGGCTGTATCGGGTGTTCGATGCCGCAGAACTGCCTCACCCTGGTCGGGACGGGATGCTGTTCCCTGACTTCTGGGAATCCGCTTGCGGATTCATCTGGTGTATAAATGAAAGTGGGCGTTCACTGTCTGTTATTGTCTGTCCTTGTGTTGTTGTTGTTGTGTGCCGGCTACTTTTCTTCCTACAGAATGGGGCAAGCCGACTCGAAGGCCCGAACCCCGCTCCAATGCCTGAACCCCACTCCAATGCATGCTGAATAACTTCTCTGATTCTTTAAGCGCTCCTGTGACTATGGAAAACCTGCCGATCCTGGTTTCCTGAGAACACTCTGTGAACTCGAATGGCCTGCCTATAGGGTTAATTGGCCACCCAGAGATAGTTTCAATTTGCAATTGGCTTTTATGGTCCATCAGAAAATATACAGGAGCCCTGGTCACCTGGGACAAATGCCATATATTGATATTTGGATTGATATAACTACTGACAAACCCAATGTCAATGTCCAGAGGTTCAAATGAAAGGAGAAACAGTTTTGTTAACAATGTCTCAACCTGCCCTGAAGGACAGTTAACTCCTCCCAGCCCCCAAGAAAATTCTGTCTTGTCCTTCAGGACCCCCCTTGAGGATATACTAAAATGTTAATTAACCTGAGTTTGCCTACTTTGGGTTCTTATTACAGAAAAGCTAGAAGATGAATTTGGATCTGTTAATGATCTATTGATTCGAAAAATGTCTATTGGAAATATGAATATATTTGTCAATCAGAAGAATGTTAATTACTTGTACTTGTCAAAAGAGGAAAAATTCAACATTTCCAAAAGTTAAAAGTTCAGATTAAGTTAAAAAAAATTATATGGTTTTGATTAAAAAATATAAGATATATATATATATATATATATTTATATATATATTCTTTAAAAGAAAATTGTTCTAAAACTGGTTATTTCTGAATGGATAAAAAGGTTTATGAAAAATAAAAGATTTGTTAAAAGAAATCTTAGAAGGAAATCGTAAATAAAATAAATAATAAATTTAATAAGATATGTGAATCTAAAATAAATTAATATAGAATTTATTTGGTTCTTCTGCAGCCTATTAAAAGGGAAAAAGTTTTTTCCCAATATTTGCCTAGGAAACAAAAATTATATATATTATTGAGATGGTTTTATGTTATGTTAATCAAGTACTTGAGTCCTTAAAAAATCATTTTCTTAATCATAAGAACTGAAGTTTCACTGACCTATGTTTATGTTTAACATCTGTCATTGTCACTTTAAATGAATAAATAATTGAATACTATTTAATAATAATAATACTATATGTTCTGGTCAAATATGTTTGACAACCTTTCCAGGATTTGAATTTTAAGAAACTTTTTCTTGACCTGGAATTAGCTTTGAGTCATTCCAATAGGACCTGGAATTCTTCAAAGATTTGTTTCCTCTCCTTATGAAAGGAAATTAAATCAATGCAGATGGCTTAGCACAGTCTGTTTCCGCACTGGAGTATGGGTGAGGACAACACACTCCAAGTGCAAGAACACACACACTACTAGGAACGATTGTTTGTTCACTTAGCAAATGCACAGATGCCTCTTATATGTGGGTCTCTGCTAATGCTGTGGGTTATACAAACAGTCCTCACTTTAAAGGGGCATATAATATATTTTACAAAGTCAGGCTTGGATTATTTAAAGAAAGAACATGATTAAGCCCCAGAGGCCTGAAAATCGAGCTCTTTTTGATTTAACTAAGAAAGTTTTTTATTTCATGGTGCTACAATGTGCTCACATATAAAAAGAAAAAAAAAAAAAAAAGATGATATTTCCTTGCCGCTTTCTCCTGCCTTGTCGGCAGGGAAGGCTTCTCCCAGAGCCTCAGTTGTTATGTCCCCCATGTATGGGAGGACCCAATGTCTGAGTGGCTATGGATGTATTCGGATGTACTGGCTTCTTTATGGTGAGGTCTCAACGCCTCTCTGCAAGGCTTATTAACATTCTCACAGGCAAACTGTTTAACCATTGAAATGCCAGTCTAAGCTGCTCATCCGCAGCGGGTTTGACGGCAACTAATTTCCAACAGGCTTCTCTGAACTTTGGGGAATTGAATATAGGGATCCCAGGATACGAAATGCTCTTAGAGAGTTAAAAAACACTTTGCCCTGCGTAAACACATGTTAGGATGCTGCTCCCCTTTCCTGCATCCTTTTGTAAACCTGGGGTCAGAGGAAATGTTCACATTCCTCTGCCCATAGTAGGACCCAAATACTGTCAGGGGAAGGGCTTCCTTAGACACTTTTCACCATGTTCTCCTGTTAGGCCTATTGGCCCAATTGGCTGAATTAGCAAAGGTAGCAGTAGCAGACTTAAGGGACACAGGGCCCATAGAAAAGGATCACCCTAGGAAGGGAAACATAAGGAAAGGTCAGGACAACAGGTCTAGGTCCCAATTAGGGATAGAAAAGACAAGGACAAAATCAAGTATAGAGGAACAAAATGAAAAGCCGTCCTTAATTTAGGAAAATGACAGGGCTGGGGCTCCTTCCAGCTGAGCCCTCTGGAGCCCAGAATAATACAAGACAATAGGGGACAAACTAGCTAGTTTCCTGGTAGACACTGGTGCAGCAGTCTTGACCGAGCAAATAGGACCCTAACCTACCCCTGGACTTCAAAGAGGACTATAGATCTTGGGAAAAATACTGTGACTCATTCGTTTCTGTTCCTGCCGGGGTGCCCATACCCCCTACTCAGACGTGATCTCCTCCAGAGATCATTCAGTTGATGGCCACTGCCACTCCAGGCCAGCCCCCTCATCAAGTTCCACAAGACGTTGGCCATCAATCCTTCCAGCCTGCCTGCAGATGATGACCCGGAGACACTTCTGCAAGACTCCCTGGAGGCAATTGACACTGCAGATGGCTGCCCAGACCTCAGGGATGACCCACTGCCATCATCAGATGAAGTATTGTTCACGGATGGGAGCAACTATGTCCAGGAAGAAATCAAATATGCTGGGACAGCAGCAGTAACTCTGGACCATGTCATGAGTAGGGGAACTTCAGCCCAATAGGCTGAACTCATAGCCCTAATCCAGGCTCTCTGATGAGACAAGGCGAAACCATGCTGCAAATAAGGAATCTCGACATATGGCCTGAAAACCAATTGGGACCTCTCCAGATATCAGTCACCATGCCAAACCCAAATTTGCCTCTGACTCCTACTTACACTGGGTCAGAAAATGACTTAACCAAGCAGAAACAAGTCATAAAGGAAATCAACGAACGATGGACACTACCTGATGGGAGGATATTGGTCCCAGAGGCTCTGGGTCAGACTTTAGTCAACCAGCTGCACCAGACTACCCACTTAGGTTACACCAAGCTTACTGAACTCCTGAGAGGCAAGAAATGTCCAATAAGATCACAGGGAAAAGGAAAAGACGGAAGAAAGCAGGAATATATAGGTCTAAGTAGGGAGGAGGAGAAAAAATGGCTAAGGGATGTGCAGACAGCAGATAGATTGAGCAAGCTCTCAGGTTCATGTCAGGAGAAGGATATGTAAGTCGTAGAGGGTCTGTCAGCAAGCTAGAAGGGTTATAGAGAGGGAAGAAATAAAAAGAGAAGGATTATGCAGAGGAAATAAAAAGATAAAAAAGGGACATACATATTACAGGAAGACAGGACATTGGAGGAATACTCAAGAAGATTGGACACCGAGAGAGGGAGAACTTGCCCCTAATACTAGAATCACAGTCTAGGATATATTAAAGGGAATAACAGATTTAGGCTACTCCTGACCCTTAGATCAGACAATGACCCTGCCTTGATGGCAAAGAATTATATTGCTGATATAAAAATGCCTTTTTCCTTAACATTTTATTATAGTTCTTCCATGTCATTAAGGCCTCTTTGTAATCACCATTTTTCATGACTGCATTTCTCTTTCAGTCAGGTGTGTTGAAATCCCTTTGGCTGGTTTGTAAAGATTTTTATGTGTATGATTAGTGGAGCATTTTTGATCATGCATGTGATAAATAGTAACTGAATAG